TTACAAGCTTAATAATTGGCTTCTTAAACTCCTCTCCCACATTGAATTTGATCCATGACATTATGACATTTTAGTATTCTTTTCATCTAAAACATGAGATGTAAACCGACCATTAATGATTGTAAAGCATCATAATGAGATATTTTTTCATCCCAAAATGAGAATTTAAACCGACTATTTAAAGTCGTAAAGTGTCATAAAGAGGTCGCTTTAATGACTCATTTGTATCGTCTCATCGAAAACTTCCTGTCGACGAGGCCAATTTCCAGTAAGGGAGGCCTACTGGTTTTAGCGACAAGGACATGATTAATTGTAAATAAACTCATGAATGAGGATCAGCAAAAATCACCCGGTGAATATACATCTTCACTAGAGAAACTCGGAAAGTCCTCCCTCTCCGAATTAAGTGTCATGAACGTGAATAATGGCTCACTAAAGGACTCATTAGTATAATTACAAAATTTAATAATGTTTTTAATTTATTTAGGATAAATAAATGCCTTTAAACACCAAATAATGGCAGATCATCCCGCAATTAATCACTTGTAACGGTTCATCGGAGAGCAAAACTTGTCGTCGCCGTGGCCGCCGGAATTGGGGTTCCCCGTCAATTGTTCGAACAACCGCAGAGGAGACCAAGTTAGCTTAATCCATCATTTTCCATATTCCTTCCCTTCGGCAGATTGTCAAGAGCAGGAATGTGAATTTCCCTCTTAAAGTTCCAATTTGCACTATTTCGAACCCAAGCTATGTAAGCAGGGGAAAATGACAAGATAAACTTGTATTCAAACCACTCTCCAGAGTAGTATAGCTTCAAAAAGGGAAGCTTATCCGATCAAAGAAGGATCAGAATCACCGGCCACAGGCCGTATCGACAAGAAATGTCGTTCTTATTATGTTTACTCACCTTTTCAGGTGCGAAAACAATCTGTTCAATCTGCACACAATAAACTCAATTTGCCATCAGGGTAATAGAAGCAATCGCCACTGAGGCGAATCCTCGATCTTAGAAGACAGATCCCCAATAAACTCTATTAACTTCAGCAAACAGAATATGCTCAAATGAAAAATTGAAGGAATATTAACTCGGAAAAGGACAACCGAATTGACTATCGACCAATAAACCCTAGGCCACGAGCAGCCCCATCAATCACTTTCATCGCCACCAAGGAAAAACCAGAAGCTTAGATGAAAAGGGGAAAATCAAAATCACATTAACAGTAAACATATATCCATGGAGCTGAAGGAACGATCAAATAAGCACGGGAAAAACAGAGAGAGAAAGAGAAGAGAGTTAGAAAAGGGAGCAGGAAAGTGATGCACTCGGTGACGATGACAGGCAGACATCATGACTGATCGGAGAAATGAAAGAGGAGAATTGCTCCGGCGATGGGGAAATTGGAAGGGGGAGAAGATACATGGATCAATCGATTTGCCACCTATAAACCCATCTCATAAATCCAAGAGGATGGAAGCTGGCTTTCAATGTATTTCGCACCTGCCACATGATCTCTCTGAGGATGGAGGACGCAATTGGATGGGTCTCCCAGTTTTAATAGTCACTAGAATCAATATCCATTGGTACTCAGCGGGGACTAAGCTTTTTTTTTACAAAAGATAATTATATATTGATTCAAACCATAAGAAAGTTACACCCTGGAATTCAGCCAGGTCTGAAAATCAAAGAAACGACTCATAGTCGGGTACAAAGAAAGAGCCTTTCTAGCTATCAAATGGGCTACCCTATTGCTACGCCGACCTACAAACCGAACAACAAACTCGAATTGGGGACCAAAATACTCCACAATTTCTTCAAGAACATCCCCCGTATGGTTGTCTCTGGTACTGCCCAATTGATTTTATCAATTATCACCTTGGCATCCCCTTCAAATATGACGTTCGTAAATCCAAGCTCCAGACACCAAAGAATCGCTGCCTGGTGCACGAGTAATTCCACCACCATTGGGTCCTCAATCACCGGGAAGTGGACACCTTTGACCAGGAGGATCTCCCTCAAAGGCGTCAAGAGAACAATCTCCCCGTCGAGTGGGAACCACTCTTAGTGGCGCCATCCCACATACAAACAATCCTATCACCTCCCACCGGATCCAGATGCTGTGTTCCCGAGGGGCAAATAACGGGAGGAGGGCCAGCCGGCGGCAACAGCGGGGACTAAGCTTGCAGCAAAATCTCCTATAGTAACTACAGTAGCGAGGAAGTGGTCACCACTCTAAAAACCACTATGAACTTGTATATATGTTAGTGTTGGTAACTTGGTATGTTTAAAAAAAAAAAGCTAACCGAGAGGTGGCTCGTCGTGGATACACCGCGATTTAGATCCCGACTAGAGCTCAAGCACAAACTCTAGCTGGGTGCAGTATAGGGCAAATATGTTTTAATTATCAAATTCGAGCCGGTCCATGTACCACTAATTCAATTGCTTAGATTGTTATCTAGCAAATGGTTTTGGATTTAAAAGCTAAGAAAACTACAAAACGAAAACAAGCAAGAAACTAAATCGAGGTTGTCCCAATGAGAGAAGAATTCACCCGGGTATTGCTCCCCCTAGCCTCGTATCAAGATCGACCAAATCAAATACAAATGTGTGAAGGTGTGTTCATACACCGTTAGGAGGGCACAACAAGTGAAGAAAACCTCACTCTCTTAATCAATCGGTTAAGGAAAACAATTAAGCTAGGAACCTTAGCTCTCTCAATCAATGGATTAAGGATTGCTACAATAAACTAGGAAGTCTAGCTCTCTTAACCTTTCGGCTAAGGATTGCAACAATTAGCTAGGAGTCCTAGCTCTCTTAATCAATAAAACTAAGGGTTGCAAGAACTGATCCCTCAGAACTTAATCCAGACGGCAAAGTAACACCCAAGTTAAAGTGCTAAATCGAAGTTTGAGATTTGCCCTAATTTTCCCTAGGCAGGTGACTCAATTGGCCAAGGAATCCAGCTTATCAAAGCCTTCTCACAAAAAGGGGAATTCCCTCTACGTAGGTCAAATTGGCATAGTAATGAGAAATGAAGAACACAACCCAAACATTATGAAAATACCTCAAACTTAGCATTAAACACAAGCCCACACACAAAGCATTCAACTAATACAATCTATCACATATTTCAAGTTAAGGTTCACAACACCCAAGTGAGTAGGTAGACTATTTCATAGCTAGGTAAAGGAAAACAAGAAATAGGAAGAAAGAACCATGAAGAGATGACAATCTTCCTTCCTCCTTGCTTGAATCTCCCTTGAGAGGTAAGAATCTTCACTCCTATAGCTTAGAGCAAGCCCAATCTCCTTTTTCCTCCTTTGAATGACACTTTCTCTCTCTAGAATAGGAAGAGGAAACCCTAATCTCTCACTATCACTATAAACCCTCATTATTTTGAAGACTAAAATCCTAGAAAAAGCTATGTCATTCTCCTTAAGCTCACTTCCCCATTTATACCCAGATCGATGCCTGTTCACGGTCCCAGTCACGGCGGTGAACATTCGTCCTGGACCGCGAAGTCGAGTAGATTCGCACCATTTCACTAAGTCACTTCACGGTCTGGGGCTGGAGTTCACAGTCTTACGACCGTGAACTGACTGGGTTCTCGCGAGGTGTGCAAACTGTTCTGGAGCTTTGGCGCTTCACGGTCATGATGCAATTGTCACGGTTTTTCTTCACTTTTTTGCACTTTTCGACCTCCAATCGACTCGAAGCTCGTCCTCGACCTTCCCACATGTGCTAGGACCTGAAATGTAACAAAACAAGCACAACCTAGCGTAAAATAGGTCGAGAGACGATGAAATGCGAAGTCAAACTATCAAGAAATGAGAGGTAAAATGTGAACAATTGGACCCGAATCACACCCCCACACTTGAACGTTTGCTTGTCCCCAAACAAACCAATCTCAAATAAGGTAATATTTCAACCTAACAACAACTTGGGGACATTATCAAAGGGCACAAAATGGATGAATCTTAATGTTTATTTGGCAACGATACATGGACAATTCACAAGCAATACTGGCAATCCACCACAAACAACATTCGAATCCATTAAGAACGTGCAAACGAAAAGTTCTCACCTTGTTCACAAATCAATACAAGTATCGACTGGACTACTCACCAACCACAACTAACCATGCATAGAACTCAAGTCCAAGGAACAAACGAAAGGGCGACAAAGGTCCTCACCAGGATAAGATGTGAACATGCAAACTGTGAATGAATCACTCACTCTCGACCAGTGGGGTCGGGACCTTTTGGTGCAAAAGATGTGCACAATCATCAACACTCAACCCTATCGTCTCTCCAACATGGTAGCAACCTCTAAATGCTAGAGTTCACGGGATGGTTGTCGTCGCTAGCTTGTCCAGAGGTCTTAGACACGGGTTCAAATGACTGGTAAGGGTCTTGGACATGGGGAAAAGACCTTTTGAGTGGTGGCAAGCAAAGCATGAGGTTCTACATCTTCAACCTAAAACCGAAGGTTCAAAGGTTTCGACTAGAACCTTTCATACAAACAAAGGCCAGTAGCATCGGCAAAAAACCACACTTCCCTTCTTCCATATCACTACCAATCGCGAACTATATTCAAGCACACTTCTTCGGCCTATCTTTCTACTTCTGCACAATTATGTTCTTCAATCTCTAGTCCCAAATTCTATTCTATCTTCTCAATCGTTAATCCTCTCTTGAAATCCTTAAATACCTTTTTTCGCATCTTGTCACGAGAATTGCCCGTGCTCGAACAAGTGTGTTGCTTACACCTAGGGACTATTCGATCGACCTTTCAAATACAATCACAAGATTCATTATCTTTACAACACTCTCCATGACATAGGTAGGCTTGAGCTATGATGATTAGCTCTAACTAGTCCGCCTTTCCATGGTGCGATTGACAAATTTATTTCTAAACATCGACAATTTTATCGTCATATCAACCACAACATATACGCTGTCTACTGTCCATTTGTAATGGTTGGGTCTCATTATTAATGTATCATTTGATCGAGCACTTAGACCATTTTGTACAAATAAAGCCACCATGTTCCATATACAAACGTTTCGCTTAACAGATAGACCAAAGCCGTAGAGTAAAATTCGACTTGAAAAATGGGCAAAAAACAAAAGAAAAGGCGCAATAAAATGTAAGCTAAGCAAAATTTGACGGTAGGGAAGGGCAAACAATGGGCAGCCACAAATTTACAGAATCTACCCTGAAAAGAAAAGGAGAGCTATGTACACTACCAACCAAGTAGCACACTCGAGCTCGGAAGCTTCTATTTTGAATGGCTGTTGAGCTTACTTGGTCCCCATATCCGAACTGTACCATCATCACTCGCAGATGCCAACATTCGATGCCTTCTCGGGTTCCAGCTCACGCAATTCACTGTCATCAGATGGCCGCTTAAGATCTCAATCGGCTTTGGATCTCTTCGATTCCATATGTAAACCTGTTATTAGTTTCAGCATAGCGTAAGAGGTTTCTCATTTCCTACAACCTCAGGACTTAACAGCAAACAAACTAAGGGGATAAATGCTGCCGAGGGGGGCAGGGGGCCGGCCAATACAACAACATTGTGCATGCTACAGGGTACATATATAGAAGAAGAGAGGTGAATCTAGAAGAGACGAACCTGGGAATCTTCGCTGCCACTTGCGATGAATGAGCTATTCAACCCACCAAAGCAGGAGCGTATGACATACTTGTCTTGCTTGTGGCCCACGAACCTAAGTGGCTTATCCCATTTGCAGGCAACATCCCATAGATGGATCTCCTGGCTGTTGAGATTGACGATGAAGTAGTCGCCATTGGTGGACACTGAAAGGGATGTGATTGAATGTGCCTCCAAGATCAATTGTTCAGTACTTGTCTCCACATTAAACTTGCGGATTTCTTTATCAGAGACAACTATAAGATGCTCCCCATCCGGTGTCACGGCAAGATCTGAAACCTTTGGCATCCTTCTTCCCTTCCATGATTTTATTTCTTTTCCATCACAGTCCCACACGTAGATGCCCTTCCCAGGCTCCGAACTGCCACACACGAGTTGCTTTGAGTCCGGAAACCAAGCACATGAGCTGACAATGAAGCCATGACCTCCAAATGTACTCAAGCATGTACCTGTTTCCACATCCCACAGCTTGAGGACTTCTCCATTCCCACATGTCAGCAATCTGGTATCATCAGGACTCCAGGCCACTAAGGATACCGGTTTGTGGTGACTGCTTAACACGTGTTTAAATGCCAATTGCCCATCTTCCATTACCTACTAAGATCATTACGAAATCAGAACAATAAGAAGTAACATATTTCCGTTCAATGCTGAATAAATTTCAGATCCAGATGCCAAGCAAAAGTTCCGAGGATCACTTGCATCAATTTAGGTATAATTAGATCTGGAAAACCCAGCATATATATAGAGTCAAATGACAGGATTTGCTGCATTGAAGAGACATAAATAAGAAACTCCACAGTCCTAAAAAACAAATAAATAAAACCCACTGTCCTACAAACAATTGACCATGGAAAGTTATCCTAATACAGTACCAAAAACAAAAAAGTAGAGCAAAGGCAGACGGATTCAAAATATTAGCTTAAAGGCCTCAGCTCACCAAATTAAAATCATTACATTTCTTGACAACTTTTTTGGAGAACCATCTACCAGCTTCAATACTAATAAGAAATGAATTTGTTCGGCCTTAAGAGATCCAATGGAGTCAATGTTACCATTTGCAGAAAATGCAACAGAAATTTGGACTCAAATTCTCTAACCAACCTCTCATATATCATTCCTAACAAGTTGGAACCGAGCTTTTTATAAGGAAAAAGGAACAGTTTGGTGTTCCCTAAGCAATTGCATAAGTTACATCTCGATCAAGTACCTTCCACACAATTGCTGTACAGTCACTTGAAGACGAGGCCAAATACTCTCCATTATTTGAGAACTGTACAAACCAAACTTCATTCTTGTGCTCTGTTAAAATCTGTAAAAATAACAGACATCAGAATGGATTTTCTATCAGGAACAAACTCACCAGTTTGTATTTAAGAATTAACTAACAGCAAGAAGATAATGTTATTAAGAAAAAAGTATATTAACTATTAGAATGAGCGAGTGGTTGAGGAAAAGCTCAAAATTGACTCTACAAAACCCAACTTAGGGATTTCCTGGACTATAAAATACAATTCCAGTGAGTTGGCTGCCTTTAAATGTGATTATTCTTCGGTTCTCACATGGCTTTTAAGTATCTTCCATTTAACCCATTGACTTTCATCCTAAATGCACTACTTTTCTACCTTAAAAAAGAAGAGACTATCTAAGAAGAATGAGAGACCATTGAAACATGTTTGATTAGGATATGAGAGCATAACACCTTGTGCACAATTAATAATCTGTGCTCAAAGCAACTGTCTAACAAACATCTTCTTTACCTAGCCAGGATATTTGCTCAGTTCTAACAAACAAACTCTATAACAAACTACACCAATACTCTAAACATACACGCTAGAGCTGCAGGCTTCGGGGACAAAATTGATATATAATGAACTAAATTCTTACAAGGATGAAAAATATTTAATTACCAGCTAATAGTTCCAATGAGCAAGATTCTCTATCTTGCTTCCCAGTTCCCTACTTTTGTTTCAGTAAAAATATAAGCAGCAGCAATGAAATTTCAGACAAGATTATCATTATGAAGATATCTCATGAAAGACATCTCAGACTCATTCAACTTGAGCAATCAAAGTATGCAAGAATGACCACCACATAGAAGGTTTACAAAGCTTGCACAAACAAAGAATTACTTGCCAAAGACAGTAGCAAAAGATTGATAGAACGCAATAAACAGGTTAAAAACTGAGAGTGATAACTGTATTATCAGGTCATAAAATTTTCAACTGTCAAACAAAATAAAAGCCAAAAAATGAAACCAAGTAGTGGAGCGTGTGATGCAGTGCTATTCTCACTTACACCAGAATGCACACCTGAAAGGTCTCTGTGGGTATCTGATCTCTGGAACAGCAGTGATCCTGATAAAGAGAAACTCCCGCATCTGTATTGTGATACTTGCAACAATCAATTTGGGCAATGACAGCATTTTCAACCAGATATACCAGCCTTCCTTCAGCCAGAAGAATAGGAGGAGGAAGCAATTTTTCCATCTCACATAAGCAGCTTTTTCGCAGATCGTGGATTTCTTCTTTGTTTCTGTAACCTATCTCCTTTAAGGAAAATATACCACGAGCAAGATTGCACACTTTCTCTCTAACCAGTAAGGCGGGAACCTGATTCCGTAAAATATGCAGTGCCAACGAGATGTTGCCACAATTCAAACATTCTGACAAAAACTGTTTAAAGAGAAGAAACAATGCTGAAGATCGTGCTTCCTCCACCAAATCCTCCATCGAGTTAATGATGCCTATGCAGGCATCCCAATTACCCTGAAGAATCTGGGACTCTAGCAACTCAAGCTGTGAAGATTTCCCAGAAATACTGGATTCTGATTCCAAAGTCAAAGCGGACTTTCTGTAACCCAATGAATAGAGGCTTTGGATAATCAGCCTGACGAATTCGTGCCTCATTATCAGACCCTTCGGACCAATTGTTGTACATAAATTATCCATGGCATCAGGTCAAAGTCCAGCAAGAATTTCTGAGCTTTCTCAGGGTTCCTGTGATCTCAATTATTGCAGTCTCCTAGTACCTAGCTATAAAATCACGCCAATGGACCAACTGTTTTTCCAGCCAATTGTCAGCAGAATGACTCCCCGCTTGCAACTTCACAAGAATGCCAAAACATATTTCAAGTACCTGAATTCAAAATATCAAAGGGGCCAGAAGGAACATTAGCAAAGGAGGAGGGGAAGACAAGAAAGGAAAATCCATCAAAGCGCGATCTTTGAACCGCTCAATAGTGTGATCATTTCCATGCGAAGAGGAAGGAACAACGTCACAGAACTGAATATAGCGTTGAAGTAACTGTTCTGAGCACACAGCTGAAAGGAGGGAAAATTCAAAATAGCAACAAAGTAAAAAAATACAGAAAACAAAAGGAAGAGCTGGCTCCACGATGCATAAGCCGAAACAAAAGTGACTTCCCAGAAGCTGTGGAACTCGATAGAGTTGTCGCAAAAACTAAAACCACGTACACAGACGGGGAAGGAATCAAGAAGCTATTGGGAACTAGGAGAATCATTTTCCCCACCAATGAGCAACTGAATTGAAAGTGATGACAGCAAATTGTAAGGGGAAAGGGAGAGAGAAAGGAACTGACCAGAAACGGGAAATCACCCTGGCGGAGGGGAAGATTTTCGCGGCGGTGGGACGGAAAACTTCGGCAGCCTGATTCGCCCGTCTAGGGTGTCGAAATGGAATCAGTCCGTACAGAGGATATCGGAATAGATGGGAGAGGGGGAGAGGGGGAGAGGAGGAGAGGGAGGTGTTTCGGCGTCGGGCGATGATTTTATTTGATTCCAAGTTTTGTAAATTTACTAAGAATAGTAGGAGGAGGTGCAATAAAATCTTTCAGGGGATCGACAAGGTGCAAGGTTACTGCACTACTATAGTCTCCACTCTCCACTGTTGCAAGGTTAGTAAAATCTTACTAAAAACTGTACCAAATAAGTCATGTGTTGGATAATAGATAGGTTAGGTGTTATGAGCTTTAATATCACCGTCAATAACAACACTAGCAGCCCGAGCTCAAACCAAGTAAAAAGACAATGTATCCTAGATTGCTTTCTCGCGATTACCTGGCTGAAAGACGAAGACTCTAGCTGTTATACCTTTTGTCTTCTTAGTCAGTTGCCTCTCCAAGATCACGACCGGGGGATCTGAGATATTGGTTGTGATCTCCTGCGTAACCCGTGATCTAGTTTGCGGTCTAGGAGTTTATTGTCTTTTTTTAGCGTTTACATGTGAACTCAAATTAACCTCTTTTTTTTTTTTTGGGTAAGAAGACGGATGCAAAGCATCCCAACCTTAAAACATCACGTTCTTGGGAGGTCTCCCTTACATCATAATTAAGCCAATACATGAGGTTCGGATCGCACGTATCAAGGTGATGCGTGCCAAAAGGAACCTCGTGACCCTTGCAAGCCAAGATATCAGCTGCATAATTACACTCTCTATAAACATGATTAATTTTCACAATCCAATCGCGTCTCAAAAGCTCTTTCGCTTGGAGGATGAGAATGTCGTGTCTATTGTTGGGATCGCCTTCTCCTTTCAAAATGCTCACCGCGGTTGTAGAATCCAGGTTGACTTCTACCTTCCTGAAGCCCATTCCCTATGCGATCTTTAAACCCTCAACTGCTCCTTTAAGCTCTGCCCTAGTAATGGTGCAGGCTCCCAGGTTGCACATAAACGCTGCCAAGCACTTGCCTCCTGCAACAACATTGTTGTTAGAGCTCTGAAAGCTTCCACCACTTTGACGTTGGATCCAATCTTCTGGTGGTGACTTTCAAGATATGCACCTCCTTTCTCTAATGGTTCTTGTTCCTTGTTCAATAGAGGCAACATTCGCCACAACATTGGTGTTAATGGAAAAGCAAGACTCAATTCTTTTGATCAAGCCCACTCCGGAGAAAGTTTTCTCGTCCATTGCTTCCTCATTCCGCTGTTTCCATATACACCAACATATGATACCGAACTCCGTTCCTTTACTCTCATCTTTCATGTTGTTGACCAGCCAGGTCTTGAAGTCATGGATGGGGGTATGGTCCGAAACTCGATCTTTGAAGTGTCTCAGGACACCTTTGATCTTCTTGCATTTTTGGAGAATATGCTCCACAGTTTCCTCAATATTGCTGCAGTGAGGGCAGCTGCTGTTGGTGGTGAGCCCTCTCTTTGATCTTTCCTTGTTAGTCATCAGTCTGTTGTGTGTCACCAGCCACATGAAGTGTTTAATCTTGCTAGGGCCTTTTCATTTCTAGATGCCTTTCCAGATAACATCTTCCTCCCTCCCCAAAGCATCCGAGGCAAGGTTGTAGGCAGATTTAAGTCTGAACTTCCCATCCTTTTCCACTCCCCAGATGTGCTTGTCCTCCCCCGATCCAGGAACAGGAACATTTGTACCTGCAATCAGCGACAATATCTCATCAGGTAGTAGATGATTGAGTCTACTCCAGTCCCAGTTACCTTCCTCCGTGGTCCAGTCCGCAACAATAGAGCTCCTCTCTTCCTCACTAATATCCTGTTGCAGGAAGTCAGCAAGGATGATGTCGTGATCAATCCATGGGTGGGTCTAGAAACCAGTGGAAGTTCCATCACAAACACTCCATGTTGTGGCACTCTTCATTAGTGGCATTGCTTTAAGGACAACTTTCCACAGACTTGAGTGATTGCTCTTCTTCATCGACACAATCATTCCATCTTTATGGTTAAAATACTTCCGCTATAAGACCTGCACCAAAGAGCTTTTTCATCATTGAAAATGAGCCACGCAATCTTAATCATTTAAGACACATTGAGACATCTAGCATATTTAAGGCCGAGGTCACCCTAGCTTTTAGGTTTGCAGATAGTATCCCACGACACGAGGTGAAATTTTCTCCTCCCTTCCTGGGACACCACACAAACCACCTAACCTTTCTATCAATTGCATCACAAACAGAAACATGGAGGGTTGCAGTTTGCATGACATATGTAGGTATAACATTCAAAACAGAGAGAGCAAGGGTAACTCTCCCTGCAAGGGAAAGCGTTTTTGCTTTCCAAGCAGTCAGTATTTTATCAATCTCATCCAGGACATACCTATAAGTGTTCCTAGTAATCCTACCATGTAGAACTGGAACCCCAAAATAACCTATTTTCCTACACTCGACTTCATCGTTCTTCATCATAAGTGTTCGAAGCTCACGATGCCATCTAATATTTCACAACCTGATGCAAGAAAGCAATCTAGGATACATCATAAGTGTTCGTCGAAGCTCACGATGCCAACTAAACATGATTTTTATTCTCAATTTCCATAATTTTAAGATAACACCAAAAAACATAAACAACCAACCATACTAAACCGAAACTCAGAGTGAATACGAGGTCGTTTGGCTGTGGTAATTTAACGCAATAATTGGACACAAATCCCACGAAATGCATATATTTGGTGGTTCTCCGATGAGAGCGGCTCTTCCTCATCCGTCCCATCTTCTCCACCGCTGCCTCCAAATCCCCTTTTTGTGTCGCCCAGCAACTCCAATCACCAACTCACTATTTTTATTTGCCGCTATCGCAATCCCATTATCTCTTTCATCTTCGTTCTGAGCTTCGATTAACGGATGTCAGCTTCGAAGGGGTTCGATTAGTAGTTACCACTGTAATTGAAATTAAATTTAGCATCCCTAGTTAGAAGGGGGTTCATTGCTTACAAGCTCTGTGCATGAGAGATTAATCAGTTGACTCGTGATCTCCTATTGTTTGAACCTAGAATATACTAGGCGGTTATGAGGCTCTGATCTGGACTCCCTCGTCTGATCTCCTCGGGAGTGGAAGAACCTGTGAGGCGGGGGGCGGCCCCCGGGATCTACGCTCCGACACCCAAGTTAGTACGATATAGGAAACTGTTTACGGTATCTAGAGAGAGAGAGTTTAGAGAGAGACCTTAAGGTAAGAGTGTGGGAAGGAAAGAGATGATCCTTTGGCTTCGAGGCTTTGGCCTTCTTATATAGAGCTTGGGCCTTCTTAAGTGGGCTTGGGCCCGGGACGCCTTGAGGTGGGTTATGGCCCGTTTATAGTAGTCGTGTAGGCAGATTAATCCATATCCCAACAATTGCCCCTTTACTTCTTGTATTCTGTAAGAATGGAAGGAGTAACATAATGCGTTAATCGTGTATTAATTTGCCTTACTTACGAATCCGGATGATGCGGTTTGTCCCTTGTGCGAGTTGCGTGATCATTTCCTTTGCCCCTTGCTTGGCTTTCGATGTCTTGAACCAAAGCTCTCAAATCGTTAAGAGTTCCTTCGCTAGTCCATTGTTTTTAGCGCTAGTAGACCATAATTGCGACCTAGGTAGGGTGGCGCCCACGGCTTGAGAGTTGTAACTCAAGACGCTTCTTTGGAAGTGCATTGCTCCCTCGGCTTCCTGAGAAGCGCGTCGCTCCTCAGCTTCCTGGGAAGCGCGTCACTCCTTCGGCTTCCTGATAAGCGCATCGCTCCTCGACTTCCTGGGAAGTGCATTGCTCCCTCGGCTTCCTGAGAAGCGCGTCGCTCTTCGGCTCCCTGGGGAGCGCGTCGCTCCTCGGCTCCCTGGGAAGCACATCACTCCTTCGCTTCCTGGGAAGCGCGTTGCTACCTTGGCTTCCTGAGAAGCGCATCGCTCCTCAGCTTCCTGGGAAGCGCCTCGCGCCTTCGGCTTCCTGAGAAGCGCATTGCTCCCTCGGCTTCCTGAGAAGCGCGTCGCTCCTCAGCTTCCTGGGAAGCGCATCGCTCCTTCGCTTCCTGGTAATTCATTGCTCCTTCGCTTCCTGGGAAGCGCATTGCTCCTCGGCTTCCTGAAGTGCATCGCTCCTTGGCTTCCTGGGAAGCTCCTCGCGCCTTCGGCTTCCTGAGAAGTGCATTGCTCCTTTGCTTCCTGGGAAGCGTGTTGCTCTCTTGGATTCCTGAGAAGCGCATCGCTCCTTGGCTTCTTGGGAAGCTCCTCGCGCCTTCGGCTTCCTAAGAAGCGCATTGCTCCTTCGCTTCCTGGGAAGCGTGTTGCTCCCTTGGCTTCCCGAGAAGCGCATCGCTCCTCAGCTTCCTGGGAAGCGCATTGCTCCCTCGGCTTCCTGAGAAGCGCGTCGCTCCTCGGCTTTCTAAGAAGCGCGTCGCTCCTCCCATAATGGGAAGCGCATTGTCTTTCATCCTGTGAGAGGCGCTCCGCCTTCTTGCCTGATTAGAGGCACTCCGTTTCTAGCCCGCTGAGTGATGTTCCTTCTTGTTCTTAATTGGCAAGCGCTTCTTCTTCCAGCCTGTTGAGAGGCGTGCGTCTTCAAGCCTAACCCGGAGGTAATAGATATGTATTTGAGCCAACGTCCGGATGTGATAGGTGTTCCTTTTCAAGCCTAGCCCGTAGGCGGGAGGTGTGAGTCGTTTCCCGAGAGGGAGCATGGCTCGGAGGTGGAAGCATTCCTCGCAGGGAGCATCGCTCAGAATTGGTGCTCGAGCCTTGCCCGGAGGTGGAAGGCGTGAATCATTCCCCGGAGGGAGGACCGCTAGAAGGCGGGCATTTCCGAAGGGAGCATCGCTCGGAGGTGGGAGGCATTCCAGAGAGGGAGCATCGCTCGGAGGCGATTTTCGAGCCTTGCCCGAAGGCGGAAAGCGTGAATCATTCCCCGGAGGCGGGGAGCGTTCCCCGGAGGGAGCATCGCTCGGTGGCGGAAAGCATTCCCGAGAGGGATCATCGCTCTGAGGCGGTTTTCGAGCCTTGCCCGAAGGCGGAAGGCGTGAATCATTCCCCGGAGGCGGGGAGCGTTCCCCGGAGGGAGCATCGCTCAGAGGCGGGATCATCGCTCTGAGGCAGGAGTCTTCGAGCCTAACTCGGAGGTCGGAGGCGTGAGTCTTCAAGTATCCGATAAAGAAGCAAGTGGCTAGTGCCAAATATATTTAGAGAATAAATGCGAGCATAGAACTTTACGGAGAATATCCTAACATGGTGATGATGCCTCTTCATGGCGTGGATCCGAATATATATTATTGAAGAAATTACTTAGCTTGGTAGGAGAGGCAGCAAGTGAATAAGTAAAAGCTGTGCGGCTTTATTTGTAGCAGCAAAGGTGTCTTGTAGCCTACTAGTCGAAGCTACTGATTATTTTTAGGCGGTCCTGTGTTCAATTCACGGCGGCCACTGGTCTCCTTTCTTTTTAATTGGAGCCAGGATTGGGCTCTCTGAAGTCGGGCCACGTAAGCCAGGCGGTCAGATTGAGCTTGATGTGTAGGATATGGAGCGGATCGGGCTTTACCAGGCGGTCTGCGTCTTTGATGGGTCGTTGGAATATCTTTGTAAGAGAGGTGGTCTGGCGGTTCGCATTGCCTGGGCGGTTGAGGCGATTGCAAAATACTGGCTGGGCCGCTCAGCTGTTCTGAATGCGGGGCGGGCTTGGATGGTGGGCTCGGAGTTGTAGCGGTCCATGAGTGGGAAGCAGGAACACTGTGGAACATGGAGCGCACATGGGGTGGAGGTTTGTCGGGTCTTTGGCGGGCCGTGTTGGACACGAAGTGGGCCGCGTAACCTAGTGGGAGGCGGTCAGACTGAAGGCAGTCCTGGGCTTAGACGACCTGACATGGAGGTGAAGCAGGCTGTGTGATCTTGAATGGCGAGATGGGCCTGAAGATTTGGTTACGAGCGACCCAAATGGTGACGTGGGGAAGCCTGTGCGTAGAATGGAAGTTGGATGGGCCGCTTGTGGACTTGGACGCACACAAATCAACCTAGCTAGTATGGAAGTTAAGCTTACGCGCCTCCTTCCTTAATTCTCATCTTCAGTTTGTTCTTCGAGCTGCATTCCTCTTTCCTATTTGAGAGTTGGGCATTCTTTTCTTCATCTTCTTCAATTCAGAATTTCCTTTTCAGCTTTTCATTAGACGCTTCCTTGGGAACTGCACCAGCTCCTTGGGAAACTCGTTCGTCAGACGAACATGGGGGAGAGAGTGACTGAGATAAAGTAATCTGCTTTTTCTTGATGTGACTCTATTGTAGGAGAATAATCTGCTTTTTTCATAGTAGGTCATAGGTGACGATGGTGATGTAGGCTGCAGTACTTTGCTATTGGCCTCGTCTGAGCTCCGGCGTTTGGCGTTGGCGTTGGTGAAGATGAACACCCGGGACGTCGACGAGCTCTGCTGGTGGGGATGAGTGACTGGGTGCTCTGGCTGACGGTGAGTCGAGATGGCGGATGACAAGTGGTGACGGCGGCAAGCTGTTCTAGTGGAAGAGAGTAACTGGTGGACTGATTTTTATTGTCCGCCGCTGCTGCTTGTAGCCGGAGGGAGAGGCGAACTGTGTGGACGGCGGATATGCTTTTCCTTCGTCGAGCTTTTCTTTTCTTTTTTCTGTTGTGGTGACCGAGTGCTTGTCGGCGAAGATGAACGGGTCTCCTTAGCTCTTTGTTTTCTTCGTTTGTTGCCTTTGCTCCGGCGAGCCTTGGCGTGCTTGCCGGTCGGTAGAGGAAGAACAGATTTTCTTCCCTCCTTTTAGAGATCAAACATCAGAATATCCATATCACAGCCCCACGGTGGGCGCCAATTGTTTGAACCTAGAATATACTAGGCGGTTATGAGGCTCTGATCCGGACTCCCTCGTCTGATCTCCTCGGGAGTGGAAGAACCTGTGAGGCGGGGGGCGGCCCCCGGGATCTACGCTCCGACGCCCAAGTTAGTACGATATAGGAAACGGTTTACAGTATCTAGAGAGAGAGAGTTTAGAGAGAGACCTTAAGGTAAGAGTGTGGGAAGGGAAGAGGGGATCCTTTGGCTTGGAGGCTTTGGCCTCCTTATATAGAGCTTGGGCCTCCTTAAGTGGGCTTGGGCCCGGGACGCCTTGAGGTGGGTTATGGCCCGTTTATAGTAGTCGTGTAGGCATATTAATCCATATCCCAACACCTATATTGCTGAATTTTGTTGTTGTGTTGTTGCTTCTGCTTTTGCTATACTATTGAATTGTCGTTGCTATTGGATCCCTTCCCTATGTTATTTGTACCCTGATCAATATGTTTGGTTTCTTTGAATAATATGATCTCCTTTAATAAGATCCTAAAGCTATTGTGCATGGCTAGTGTTTAAGTCAGTGTGGTGCAAGTTTTCTATTTGGTGGCAGCAAAAGCAATGGCAACCAGAACAACTAGCAACAAAATCAGTTACTAGCAGAAGCAACAAGGAGTGATTAAATTCTTTCATTAGAGAGTAATTGTATTTGTCACTAGTAGTCACATACTTCACATACACAGTATAGTGGTTAGATTGTTGCTACGGTTTTATTCAATAGTTCAAAAGTTAAAGGATTGAGAACAATGCATTGTGAGATGAGTGAAGAAATGCTTTAAAGAGAGTACAAAAACACTTAACATGGAAAGGGGTTAATATGATCCTAAATGGCTCAATCTATGAATCAGAATTTCTTCGCAAAGAGGCAATTTCAACTAGCATGAAGAACATCGAAAATTGGCTAAGTGTTGAGATTGTTTCAAGGGACCAACTTTGCAGGCTTGGTTCTCATAAATGGCTCGATGAAAATTCAAGATTAGGGGTTTGTTTTGAAGTTGGAGTGCTCCTCTACAAGCTGGGATGCGTGGGAGCTCGAGGAGAGTTAGGAAGGTAATTTTCGAAGCTGCTCAAAAACAAGTCTAGAAACGTGATTGTGAAGCCTACTTTGGAGCTCCATTCGAGGAAGAGGATTGAAAATCGAGTAAGGAGCTTCATACCACATGAAAGTACGTATGTTAATCTACAAAGACACGACATTGGATGATCGATTTGATACCTAGAAGGCTTTGAACGAAAGAGGGCAATATCATCTGGAGCCTGCCGAAACTGTCTTGCTTACCAAGGAATCCAAATCCTTCTCGGATTAGGATTACTTTACCTTTTCTGTTTTGCACTTTGATTCCTAGTTTGTTTGTGTTTAAAACTTCTCGTGTTAGTTTTTTTACCTAGCCTAGCTCTATTTAAGCCTTTCAATTGCATTTTAATAGATAGATTTTGTTCAATTGAATACAAACGTCAAGTTTTGGTTCATAAGCTTTCGTCTTGTGAGTTGATTAAATTGCTTGGTGGAGTCAGAGTGATTCGTGTGCTTGTATCAAACAAGTTTTGAGAGATTGCACGAAATTGACCATCCAAAACACACCAAACATTGCCCTGTTGTTCGTGTGTTCTTGTCCGAGGTTCAATTCAATCCCATTGAATTGATCAAGCTGCTCACTCTGATCGAAAGAGACCCACCTAGGGCTCATCAAGTGGCATCAAGAGCCTGGTTCAACATAGTGGCAACAACGAAGAAGTAAGACTTACCCATCACTGCAAGAACGAGGCACAAAGATCCAATTGCCCTATGAAAACTAGAAGAGTCAGAGTATGACGACGAGACTCAATTGAAACAACAAACAATGGGAGAATCGTCTCTTAGTGCGACCGAGCAGGACCACCGTGATGGAGCGCATTCACAATCTGGAACGAAGGGTGATCACGACGGAGCACGACCACCGTGAATGCCATCACGACGATCGAAAGAGACCCACCTAGGACTCATCAGGGGCAAATTGATATTCTAACCAAATCTCACACCATCTATTTCCATATTCTTGATCTCAATCCAAACATGGGATTTTAGTCAATTTTCATTTAGCAATTCCCAGATTTTGTATAACATGGAAATTAAGGTATCGTTTGCTGTGGGATTTGGTTGAAAGCTCTTTATTGAGTGAGTTATGCTTAACGCCCCATAGATTTGTTCCATAATCAAACAATGAATATGTGTCAATTCCATGATACTTGGGATTTGGTTGATGAATTTGGCAGCCAAATCCCAAGTATCATGGAATTGACACATATTCATTGTTTGATTATGGAACAAATCTATGGGGCCCACGAATTTGAACAATTTTTTAGATTCAAATCTATGGACCTCACGGATTTGCAAATCTCACGTTTTATTTGGGATTTGATAATGGAAGACAAAAATGTGAGACAAATCCATCATAAATCTATAATAATAATTAACTAAACAAACAATATACTCTTTCAAATTCATAATACAAAAATTTATCATAAATCCAAATATTTTTAAATTTTAAAACTCTCATTTTCAAATCTAACAAGCAAACCAACCCTAAAATCAATTCTCACATTTCCATATTAACACCGCCAAACGACCCCTACAATCTACATGTGACATCGGACAATTGCAAATTACTGGTCTAACCTTAGCGCGTCATTACACGCATTCCCATTATTACGGTCTAGGCGCGTGGAGCAGACAGTCATCATCATCGTTTCCCGCAAACAGCGTAATGCTGTAGCAAATGCACCCTCCTCCACTGTACTATACTGCTCTCTCTCCGTAACGCCTCCGCAATAAAAGCTTCCCTTTCCCTTTCCCTCTTTCACTTTTGCTTCAACTAACTCTTCTTCAATCTACTCCGCTCGCAACAAATATACGCTGCCATCACCTACCTCTTTCAGCTGGAAATTCCGGCGTCCATTCACCCGCTCGTGGCCGTCTCGTCTTCCCCTTCTCCGGCGGAGCTTCTGAACGACGGCGACGACTTGTCCCCCTAGATTTTCGGGACCGCATTTCATGGATCTGCAGCTCGGCACACGGGCATTGTGTCCTACTCTCTCTTCTCTGCCTTGAAGCATCAGTTGTTCGTGCGGGCTGTTTGAGCCTCTCTTTTGCTTTTTTTTTTTCCCACTTGAGCTATGCGGTCAGCTGCTTTGGTGGCCGCGGAGTTTGAGGCAGTGGATTGTTGGTGGCGGAGAAGGAACCCTAGGGATATTTTTACTGCTCATTCACTTGGATCTTGGGCGGAGACGCTGTTGAGCTTGACGGTGTTCTGTAGTTTTTGAGCAATGGTGTTTGGTTTGGCTTCCTGAGAAGAAGATGCGAACCTTGGTGCTGCTGCTGCTTTGCTTGCTTCGCCTTGTTTTTACTTGTTCAGGTAAGTTGACGAGTTGCACTCTTTCCGCCTTTTATTTTGAATGGCGGCTTCCTCTGGATTTCCCGCTATGAGGTATTGTTGGGATGAATAGCTTTGAAAAGACAGGGTTTGAGATAGTAGAATAAGGAATTTGTACCAAAACTTCACTTGCTGCTTGCCACTGATTATTCCGTCCTCTTCTATCACAGGCGCCTTTAGGAATGGATTATGGGAGGACGAAATTAGTTAGATTTATAATCTTCAGGTTTCTAATGCCCAATTTACTGCGGGGAGAGTTTTTAGGATTAGGGAAGACTTCCCCAGTATCTGCAGTCTGCGTCCCTCTTCTTCAGGTTCATGCCCTGAATCATGGCGGCTATGCCTACATTTCTAGTTAGAAGCTTGTGGTGCAATCTTCCATGGGTGCCGACTCTGTGTGCATGCTTGTGTAGGAGACCTGGTTGCCATGAGCCGTTACTGAATGTAGAGAACTTCTAAGTTGGATAACATCTATCAAATTGGTTTCCTGCTAGATTTTGATTTGACTCATGCAAACATCTTCTGTTTTTTTGTCTCTGGGATAAAGGTACTTAAATCCTTCATTATTTCAATATGTTCATGTATCTACTTTGCTCTTGCAGGGAACTCATTATATCACATGTTTTTAACTCCTGAACAAACTACTCAGCGTGTACCTACAAGCGAAATTTCGGTGAAACAAGGTAGGCAATCGAGCAATTTAAGTTATTTCTTGTGGTATAGTTGCTGCCAATGGATTCATGATTACATGTTTCCTTTATTGCTTGCAGAAAAGAAATCTTCGAAGGATGCTCCATTTGGTGATTCGCAGCCACCTCAGAAGCATCTGTTTAGACCTGCTCATAACCCATCTTCTGCACCTGCCCCTGCCCCTATCCCACTGAATAAGGGTATTACAAGTAAATGCAATCTGGCAATGGTTCCAATTGCTTTTAACAATCTTTTGGTATTATCTTACTAATACTAATAACCTCTGTTTTACCAGTCTCCTCTAGTCCTAGAATTGCTCCCATACCAAGACGTCATGGCCATCATCGAAATCACCATCCAAAAGCAGCTGTAGTCCCTCCACCCCCTTCAGAAACAACGAGTAATACTTGGATCTGAAATTCTTATCTTCCTCATATTTGTACTAGTATGGGCTTTCTGATAGAGGCGTCTTTGGCAGGCTGTGACCAAACTTGTGTGGATCCACTTACGGCTACTCCATTCGGTTCACCTTGTGGCTGTGTTTTCCCTATGAAAGTCAGACTTCTTCTGACTGTGGCTCCTTACACCGTTTTTCCAGTGATGAATGAACTAGAGGTTGAGGTCGCAACAGGGACTTATTTGGAACAGAACCAGGTAAAGATAATGGGTGCTACTGCTGATAGTGAAAATCAGGGAGAAACGGTGGTGGACATTAACTTGGTTCCACTGGGAGACAAATTTGATAATACCACGGCTAGTCTTATTAATCAAAGATTCTGGCATAAGAAAGTGCATCTAAATACGACTATCTTTGGTAGTTATGAAGTGGTGTATATTGTTTATCCAGGTAATTATTTCAGTCATACCAGATGTTTTGCTATCTCTTGTTATTTTCTTATCTTCGAGATGACCATCGAGTTTCCATCAGGCGTTCCTTCTTCGCCACCATATCCAAGTTATACTGCCGGCGGTCCATCGGGTAGTGGTGGAGGTCTACCAATCACAGCCAATCCAGTGAAGAAGGACAAAGGGATCAACTTTAGGACCTTAATAATCATCGCCTTATCAGCATTGGTGCTCTTGTTGGTCTTAATTGGGGCAGTCTCCATTTTCATAAAATGGAAAAAGTTTGGGAAACAGTCAAATGCTGTTGGTCCTGCATTCCCACAATCTATCAATAAAAGATCTGGTATGAGCTTATATGATTTCAGTTTTTTTTTTATTATGCACTGCTTGGGAATGTGCCCCCATACATTTTACCGGGGTTATGTTCTGTAATCCTTTTAGGCCAGGCAGCATTATCTTTGCATACTTTTTGTCTTTTCATTTTACTTAATCTGAGCACTGGTTTCTCCGAAGGGTTGACACTACTACTTTCTGTCATGCAATCCCAGCATTGATGTTTCCACTTCTCCTCTTGTACATTTTCTATAATGGCTCATTTTGTTCCAACTTAGATTGTCACTATCTAAAATAGCTTCTTGAACAATTTCATGCTCCTGAATCCTTCTGTCCCGTGGAATATATTGGTTGATTGAATTTGTCAAACATGACAACTACAAAATATGAACTTAATAGACGATGGTTCTGTTTTACTACTTACGCTGAATTTTTCTGAGCTAGGATGTGTAATTGCAGGTTTTGGATCCTTCTTAACAAATAGTATTGGGAGCTCAACATCAGTATCCCTCATTTTTAACATGGCTCCTTGCATGTTATCTGTGAAAGCATTTAGTTATCTGGAGCTTGAGAGGGCTACAGACAAGTTCAGTTCAAAGAGGATCCTGGGGGAAGGAGGGTTTGGACGTGTTTATCATGGTCTAATGGAGGACAGGACTGAAGTTGCAGTGAAGATGCTTACTAGGGCCAATCAGAATGGAGACCGTGAGTTTATTGCAGAAGTGGAGATGCTGAGTCGTTTGCATCACCGTAATCTCGTCAAACTGATTGGTATATGCATTGAAGGGCGTACACGCTGTTTGGTTTATGAACTTGTTCATAATGGCAGTGTTGAATCTCATTTGCATGGTATGTGCCATCATCATATTTATCGTTCAAAGCTATATGCTATTTGTCTCAGACAGTACTTCCTTGATTGTATATTCTTCTAGTGAAAATGAGACTGCCTATACTGTTGAACTCATGAGTAAAAGTCCCTTCTTCAGTATGGAACTCTGTCCGGCGGAAACACTGGTTGGAGTATATACAATTCAGTTTAGCATATTTAGCTGTGTTTCAGGTGTTGATAAACAAGGATACCTTGACTGGGATGCACGGTTGAAGATTGCTCTTGGAGCAGCTAGAGGACTTGCCTATCTACATGAAGATTCTAATCCTCGCGTGATTCATCGAGATTTCAAAGCTAGTAATGTTTTGCTGGAAGATGATTTCACTCCTAAGGTATCTGATTTTGGCTTGGCAAGGGAAGCAACTGAAGGGAGCCAACATATCTCTACAAGGGTCATGGGAACCTTCGGGTAATCATTCATGTCCTTTTCTTCTAATTTCATCATCTTGCATAACACTGAACTGTCTGTACACCATTCCCGAGGGCTGTGATATTACTGGTCTTGTGGTGACACAAGTCTGACACTCAGGAATGATTACGAAACCTGCTTCAATTGGCTGTCTAACGTCCACCAATTCCTGATTTGGCAGGTATGTAGCCCCTGAATATGCAATGACAGGGCATCTGCTTGTCAAAAGTGATGTCTACAGCTACGGGGTTGTGTTACTCGAGCTTCTGTCAGGGAGAAAACCTGTGGATATGTCCCAACCTCCAGGACAAGAAAACTTGGTAACTTGGGCACGTCCGCTTCTGACAACCAGAGAAGGGTTGGAGCAGCTAGTTGATCCTTCCTTGGCTGGAAGCTACGACTTTGATGACATGGCCAAGGTGGCAGCCATCGCCTCGATGTGTGTCCACCCGGAAGTAGCTAACAGACCTTTTATGGGAGAAGTTGTGCAGGCTCTCAAACTGATCTACAATGACACTGATGAGGCGTGTGCGGAGGACAACTACAGCCAAAAGGAGTCTTCTGTCCTGGATGACTCGGACTTGAAAGGTGATTTTGTTCCATCAGAAAGTAGTTGGTGGAATGCAGGTGCAGTCTCCCCTCGCATAACGTATGGGCAAGCCTCATCTTTCATTACAATGGAGTACAGTTCAGGCACACTCGAAGAGTTGGAAAACCGACCACTCTCAGCCTCGAGTTTGCTTGGAGAACGATTGTCATCACCAATCAGGCATGGCAATAGGTCTGGTCCTTTGAGAACGGTGAGAAGTAAGCCATCCTGTTACAGATTGAGAGGGAGTATGAGTGATCATGGCAACCTCCCGGTGAGACGAACCGGGAATGATGAATATTGGGCATAAGGTGGGTTTGGTCACGTGTACAGTCTTCTACAAAGGACTACCTGTAAGCTTTTTGAATTGTTATTTATGGGTCTATAGGAGAGGTTTTCGGTTCTCAAATGTCTGGGGCAGAGGGTCTGGAGAACCCAGTTTCATTGCTTATGAATCCTCAGCTTCTGATTTGGAGATCCTCAGATTCATTTAACTATACAAGGTTTCACAATGAAAGATGTATACCTGAAATGGTGTACGTACTTTTGTCTTTGTTTTATAGCTTTAATCTTGCCAACTTTTTCCCCTTGTTCTATTCCTGAGTTTTGACAGCATGACTCTTTCATCGTCTCCGAGAAAGGGGATAAGAAAAGAAATCGTCAATTTTCGGTGATGTTCGTAGATGTCGGACGTGAAAGTTTTCTACTCAAGCAGTTACACCAAAGAAGGATAGAAAAAAGAAGAGTTCCCACTTTCAAAACGGAAACTCGAATTAGATATTTTCCCCATCGAAAATACCATTAACCGATGTATGTTAAAATAAATTGAACCGAAACAAAGTGTGCTTAAATAGATACTTCCACATGAATTCTATAATCGTGGATGGCCGGCAAGTGTGGATTGAGGGTTATAGTTGAACTAATATTGTTTTATTCCATTCCCTTCATAGCTACTACATTAGAGAGCATTCAAGCAGTAGTAGCTTACAGTGAGAGAGTTGTTGTTTCTTGTTTAGAATTTTGGTGCAAACATGATTAATACAACTTGATAAGTCTGCAAAGTCTTCAGCTTAGGAATCCAAAACTTAAATGGCCAATTCGACTTTTTCGATTTCGAAATTTATTTGTTAGTTTTGTCCGAACCGAAATCGATATGGTCCATTCAGTTTCAGCTTGATAGCACCCAAAAAAAAAAACCGAATTGGCAGGCCTAATCTTATCCCATTCTATTCTGATACACCCTGCCTTTTCATCTGTTATCACCAGAATGAATCTAAGGATCAGAACCAGATTGAATCATATCCAATCTAATTCAGTTTAAAACAAAATTATCGATCGATCCAATTTCGGTACCAAATCGTTCCCGCCCTAATTGTTATCTAGTTTCCGGAAACCTCTATATTACACCGAAATACCTAGCCCCAAACGATCAATAATTCCATATATAGTCTCGTGTTGTTGGACCTATTGCAAAGAATTAAATCTATTTTCTGTGTATGTACAGATCAAGTTTAGACTGAATAAAGAAAATCCAATCAAACAGCCGCCTGACTAAAGACACCTTCGATACAAATCTCTCGTTCTCTAAACATTACTTTTACTTCCAGGTACGCAGTCACGCAGACAAGCCAAGGCCAAAAGGAGGACACGGGAAACGTGGAAATTGAGTTGGGGACGAACTTTTTGCTTTTCCCAAGTAAAACTCTTATTAGTTGAGAATAATACACTGAAAATCTTATCTTCCTCCTCAAATATTGGGAGGTTGCCAACTTCATTCCTTCAGAGGATACCACAAGCAAGTAAGGGCAAAAGAAAAAAGACACAGAAACTGAGAAAGGGAGATGCAGAGGACGAGGAACGGAGATAGAAGGTTAACTATAAACAAAGAGAGAAAAAAAAGGGGAGCAACATACAGGACTTGTAGGAACTTGGTATTACACCAGAGTTAGTGCAAACTATTTTACATTCCGGGCTCTGTCCATACGCATACATTCTTCCTTGGTTAACACTGTTTCCATTCTCAGCAACAGAGTGTTTTCTTCCTTCGACAACGGAATGTATTCGCCAGCAGCAACCATTAAAAGTAGGACCCAGTTAGTCACATTGAAGATTCCTGCCATCGTTCATACAGAGTAAACCACTTAATAAACTTGACCAAAAACAAAAGCAGATTGCACAAGGGAAAGAGAAGCAGAAGACACAAGGTATTCTAATTTGAACGGTGTGCAGTCGCCAAAAGCATGCGTTTAAAGTAGAGGTTTCGACATTATACCATCCAGAGAGACTTGCACTGCACTGATCACACAGTTACTACGCAGGTCATGGGTGGATTCCTAACCTTCTAGAGCATACGTCCCAACCTTCAACCAACAAGCGCAGAGAAACAACAAATAAACGTAGAGACAGGAATTAATGGTTCTTCGCAACAGTGATACTGAAAGACTTGAATGTGTACCTAGTAAAGCCTATCATCTGATAAAAAGGATGTGGAACTTAAAAGTTTAAACCATTTCAGAGTTACAAATGTCAGAATGAACAAACAGATGAACATTACAGAGTAATCCGACATCTAAGCGCCCTAACATAACAACCCGACTAGTTTTTACAAACTAAAACACCATACATAAAAAGGCAACTCATTCACCCATTTGTTCTTTTATGGAACGTAAGAGTGACAAAGTAAGAAGTTCAGTCCAAATGAGTTTAGAATAAAAGGAATGAAGATAGATCATTGGCACAAACATTTTTCAGATGTTGTATTGTTCCCACCGCATTGTTTAATCATTTGTAAACGAGGGGATGCAAAAACTATGGAACAGGAATCTGGCAGTGGTATATAAATGGAAGAAACAGTTCTAACAAGGAAAACAAATACAAGTAGAAACGGATAACCTTTGCATTAGTCTACCTCAGCCAAGTTCTCAGCGACATAGTTCAGTGTTGAGCAATTTGACCCATGAGCACTGTCATACTGCAAGACCCTAAGTCGTCCCTCCTACATTTTACAGAAAGCAGTTATTAGTTCAGAAGACAGAGCCCCCTTACATATGAAAAAGAAAAATCATGGACCAAAAGCAAGTGATTTGTCTAAGACATGCACACACCTTGGTTCCATAGACTAGACCTCCCCCGGCAGATGGATGAAAGCAAGCAACATTAACCTCGTCCTCTGCACTAGGAAGTACTCTGACAAGTTCCATATCTGAAACTCGGTAGACCTATATGGCAAAATTATCATATCATTGTAGTAATTTTGTAGTTAATTAGAAACAGCAGATGCACTAGGAAGTACTCCGGCAAATTCCATTAAAGATAATCAACAAAATGCTGCCACCATTTATTAAATTGTGCAGATTTCCCCTTAGCGAGAAACGAATTTTCTCGTGGAATATGAGGCACCAAACATAAGTATTCTTGGACTTCAATATGTCGATCAAAATGAGGACTATCTTCCTAAAATTTCAGAGGAAAAAATCCTGTATCCTAATTAACACAGTAGTACAACATGGAATCCAAAATACAACAGTAGGCAAACTAGAAAATTCACCTCTAAAACTGTGTAAATGAGTGATGTTGTCTCCCCATCAATAACAACGCTCTTAAGAAGAGACCCATGACGTCGCCCATAAGCCAGTAATATGTGCTCAGACGTCGGAGAGAACTGCATATAGCAGCATAATTGGAATCCAGATAAACATGAAAGAACAGCCAAACGAACTACAGGCATCAAACTGAACTAAATCAAAACAAGCGAGAACATGTATCTGACCTGTTTTAAACACATACGAGGAGAAATTAACAGACTCATATTTTTGGAGAATCAATTACCCTTTCACTCCCAATATGAACTATATAAAAAACAGCGAGAACATGAATTTGGGCTACGGATTTACACAAGTTCGAGGAGAAATTAACAGATACTAATATTTTTGGAAAATGGAAAATCAATCATCAATTTCACCCCCAACATAATTCAGAATCCCCCCCCCCCCCCCCCCCCCCCCCAAAAAAAATGTAGACGAACATAAGACTTTCACACAATTATAGCTCGGCCTGTGTGCTATGGAAATGACAGTCGTGATATTCAAAGTAGTCAAAAGGCAGCAGTTCTCTACAGGTAACAAGCTACAAGAAAACCTAGAATAGAACACCTGGAATGCATTCAATTAGCATCATTTAACCTCCAATCATCAAATGTGAATCCATCATTATTAAAGCAACATAACAGTAGAAAAACGGCACATCACCATGGAGGACACAGAAATTATCAGTTGGTCCATGACAGCTTGTTCATCCCCCTTATCTAATCACATTTGGTATAATGTGGGAACAACACAACACCCACTATATCCCAAGGAAGATTAAATACTAGTAAGGAAAAGCTGCCAACCTGTATAGAAGTCAAACAGTGTGCAGCTCTAATTGCACGGGAAACAAGCACTGAGCCAAAGCTGCACACACAAAGGCCATTGATGGATCACAATATATTACCAGACTAGAAGCAAATGAAAGTAATGCATAAACAAAGAGAACTTACGTTGCTTCCTCCAAGGAATATATACGAAGCTCATACATAACTTGATGTGCAGAGATTGGGTGTCTAGTAGGAGACGTTGCAACCCCAGCATCATGATGCACTAATGCTTGTAATCCAGGATCAGCTTCCATTTGTGGAAGGGTGCATGCAACACAGGCAGCTAAATATCTTCCACAAGGCGAAAAGTGCGCACCCATTTCACTGCAGAAGAAAAGCTCACAGTGATGCAACAAGACCTTAAATGACCTGTATGCTAGACATATACAATTTCAGCACCAAGGTTTAAGACAACAAATAGTCTCAGAAATCACAAACTGCATACCTACAAAGAACAGCATGTGGTATGGTTAAGCGGCATGTTTCAGCATTTAATTGTGAACATGGATTTTGTATATCATGTGACCACACTCTCAGCCTCACTGTACAAGGTAGTTCTGCAGCAGCTGCAGCTGTTGTTGCCAGTTCAGACTGAATTCTGTTTATAAGTGGCTGAGCATCAATATCATTTTGCGTATTGAGAAGACCCACAACTTCACCAGATTCGGGTTCTAAGAAGCGAGAGCGTGAAATGTGATACCGCAGACCAGATCTCCCAGAACCCCCAGATAAAAAGGAACTACCAGACAGTGCCAAAGATGCTACCGCAGCCTCCGCACTGGAACTAGAGAAATGAGGTGCCACAGAGGGAAGACCTGAAAGCTGAACATTGTGTTCACTGCCAACACCATTTAGCGGAAGTATCGAAGGAAGACCAGCTTGGCTTTGACCCATTAACCATCCTTGCAAAAAGGGTACCTCCCACCAAACCGGATCTCGTGGTGGCAATAGCTGGTGAACTTGGCCAAACTCTGTCGACTGCTGCCGAATTGAGCCATGCCTAGGGCCTCCATCAGCTGTACTATTACCTTCACTGAAAGCATTTATTTCTTGATGGTTTGGCCTCATATGTGGTGGTTCATCTGTGTCCATGGCATCTTCAGTTATGCCAGGAGTACGAGCTCCAGTATGAAAATAGTTACTGGATGCGCTGCTTATGGCTGGGCATGAGCCTGCAACAATGTCCGAATGTGTCTCCATAGGTGCAGTTGTTTCCGTTTGTATCTGCATACGCATAGAAGACTCCACTTGCATTGAGCTTGAACTTGAACTAACATCTCTATTATCATTTACTCTAGTATCATCTACAGGGATTGAAGGCATGACTAGTAAAGGTAGGGACATCAAAGGTAGTTCAGCAGCAACATTTACACGCTCACTGGACTGAACATTTGCCACAAAAACAGCAGGAGGTGGATATCTCAGATAGCCTGGAGATGTTGCCCGTGACATTGTAGAATCTGAGGAGTCGAGATCATTGACCTGCATATCAGTCCAACAATGTAATCCATACAGTAGCATTGAGATAATAACCAATTGAACATTCTTAGAAGTACTAACCTCTGCCGTCAAGAGAAACGGGGCAGCGTGAGGGTGAAAATGCACTGCACGAAGAGAACGTTTTGTCCTCAAAACAACGGTAGGTGAAGACGCCTCCCCTCTCTTATTGTAATGCCATATGTACAACTGCGTCATGAAACCAAATGTCAATACTGCTCAGATATGTTATTAGTGCCCCCATACTACTTGAAAGCAGAGAAAACTGAAAATTTAAGCAACGCTACACCACATATAAAGTAAGGGATTCTACACCTTGTGCCCTGATGCAACAGCCAGCAATTGACCCTCAGCATGGAAAGCAATGGAAGCAATAGGGCGATCTGCACAAGTTGGGAAAGGCACAAGGATAAACTGAGCAAAAATCCCACCAACCTTGCATACAACCATGTGCAGAAAGAATGAAATTTCTAACAATAACTAAAAGGTGCGCACAGTCAACTTACTAAAATCACGAGATCCAACACATTCTGCAGTATTAGCATCCCACAAACGTACTTCATAATCCAAGCTACCACTGGCAAGAATCTCCGGGTGGAGGGGATGAAACCTAACCTGAAGAGGTTAACTTCAATAAATAAATAAAACAGCTAGTCCAGCAATTGGAAAAACAGATGGGCGCAATGCAACAGTTCCAAGTGATGAAACACTGAACATCACATAACTTCATCCAAAGAACCATAGGCGGCCTTTCAATGAGATTAAGAAACAAATGGTTTGGAAAAGGACTGCTCAGCACTGAATATTCTGAATGATAGCAACCACAAGAAACTAAAATATCTTAATCCCAGGAACCCTAACACATGATTTCATCCAAAGAACCATAGCAAGCCACACAACCTTGCCATGAGGTATATGACACAAATGGTTTGAAAAAGAACAACTACACACAAAACATTCTGAATGATAGGAACCACAAGAAAATAGAATAACTACCACTAAGATAAAGACATTCCATTATTGCAGTCACAACTACAACAAAGACAACTGGTACTACCTAGCAACTGTAAAGCCAAGCAATCGTTTCATAACAGTGCTTGTACAAGTTACACATCAAGTAGACCAGTTGACTGATAAACAAACACTCATTGATTTCTCGGGAGCTCGAATAAACAACATCCTATATATGAACAGTGCACACAATGCAAATAAATATACCACGTCACAAACTTCCGGGGGCGGGGGGGGGGGGGGGGGGGGGGGGGGGGACCAATTACAAAGATAATAAGTAAAGTAGTTTAATACAGCCAAACAGGGTTTAATTCCATAGAATGTTGCATGGATTCTATAGTAACCAATAAGATCAAAATTTCATCCGTTTCTGAAAAGTGAAAAATCAGATCACCAAACTTCCCTCTCTCAGTAGAAAGATCAGGTAACAATCGCAAACCTGAGACTTTCAACCAGTACCTAAGAAGATTTCTGGCAGCTAAAGCAATAATAGCAGTAAACAGGAAGCAGTGCACATAAAAGCATAGAAAAGGATAAAACAGCAACATATATGCATTGAAAACTAATTCTCTGCCAAACAACTAGTTGAAAATACTCCTTGGCCCCACAAAAACAGGAGCAGCTTATAAGAAACAATCAGATTTGAATGCAGATATCCAAAAGTGTATAAATGAGTGAGCCATTTACTGCACATAGATGGAAATGGATAACATCCTAATTCCAACTCACCACCCAAGGAGTTCTCCGATGACCACTCAATACCTTCAAGCACTTCCCAGTTTGGCAATCAATAATCTTGACAGTGTGGTCACCGCTGAGTACAAAAAACAGACCTCAAAGTGAAATAAGAGATTGATTCACAACTAAAAGACAAAAGCGTGCAGTAAACTTACTGCGTGGAAGCAAGTGTTTTCCCATCCGGACTAAATGCAGCGGCAATGGTCGACCTTGGAGGTGGCATCAGGGGACAATATTTGGCCGATAGATGTCGAAGTGATTCTGCCTCAACCCTAAAGTGGGAACAAATGCATATATGATCGAATGAACCAAAACAAGAATACGATGCAACATGATAACTTAATCCAAAGTATTTCCATACCATGAAATAAGACCTCGTTTGGGATCTCTTGCTGGTTCACTTTTAGCCTCAGAAGGTGAATTGACATTCACATGAGAAGCCTCTCCCCATCCCTTCTTGGGAACATGCTTCCCTCTGGGGCATATCTCCCTCTGCACTAACAGCCGAAGAGCGTTTTTTCTGCTACTGAAATCAAGAAGAGGAAGAAACCAAACAATTAACATAATCGAAACAAAGAGTTGTAATCTATATCAAATCAGTTTCCAACAAGACTGGGGAAACCCAAAACCATAATTAAATCAGAATTGCGTCCCCAATAGAGTAGCGAATCAATTTACAGTCAGAGATTTGACTGCTGCCCCCCACCCAGAGCAACAAAATTGAAAGAACTAAACAAGACTATCTACATTTACCAATTAAAGGCCATTAAGCAGTTGACCAGAATTCAAACGACAAACAAGCGGCGCAATAACCAGCGGAAACCCTTCACATTCAAGAAAGAAAAATGCTTCAAGCATAGGCATGGGTCAGGGTAATCAATCTTACCTTTGGGCAGAATTACTGGACTGAGCAGATTGGAGGGAATTCTGATCTGGCGGCGGTAGACGGGCGGACATATCCTTGGTAGAGCGATTAAGGCTCATGGGGGAGGGCTTCTATAGCCGAATCCCAGTCAATTGAGGGGAGAAAATCAATAGGAAGAATTAGAATCTCCGAAACCCTAGTTCTTAGATTTCAATCTCGCTGCCCGGCGGTGGTGGATATGGCTCCTCTAGCAGCCCATCACAATCCGATGGACGGACGGATGCGATCAAGTCGGCAGAAGAGGAACGGGTCGGCGGATCGGAGCGTTTCGGCGTTTGTTTGATGAGAGAGAAATCGTTCTGATTCTAAAATGGCGACCACACCTAAAAAAACAGGAGCTGAGGCTAGAGACACAGAGAGAGAGAGAGAGAGAGATCGAACAGAAACGGTAATTATTTTAAGGGTAAATACTTTTTTTTGGTGAGAATCCTTTCATTAAAAAAAAAAAAAGAACCTTTCATTAAAAAAAAAAAGGTGTGTATTGGCCGGTGCCGGTAATTTAGGGTTTCCCGATGACCTGGTACTCTATTTCAAGGGCGATTTGCTGCCTTGTGTCTTTGTTGACTTGTTGGCTCTTTGGTCGGGATTCTCCTAGTAGGGACCTTTGTTTGCTCATTTTGCAGGTGAAGATTCAATTGCACAATAATCGATCGGGGCCCTTTGTCTTTGTCAAATTTCATGTGGATTCACAACAATTGATACGGCGGGATGGTGGGAGGCGACTTGGCGCATGATCAGGGTGGAGCTCTACTGGAGGATACTCGGAGCTTAGCTTCTCATTTCAGTTGGATTTCTTACTGTTTTGTTTCTCGTTGACTAAATAGGGCTGCCCATCATGTGGCACAAAAGGCCCTCTCATCGGGAGTTCGACTATTGGTCGACTCCCGCGTTTTTCTTTCTTCCTCCTTGTGACTAGCTTTTCAACACTGACTTTGAGAAAAAAAAAAAAAATACTTTTTTTTGGTGAGAATTTTAAGGGTAAATACTAAATATTCAAATAAACAACTTTGTTTTACAGTATAATAAACAACCTTTTTTTACAGTATAATAATTAATAAACAACCTTGTTCCCAACTTTTCCGATAATAGACAACTTTTTTCTAGTTTTTGAGTTGATAGTCGACACTAACTTAGTAAGATAGTTTGAAAAAACAAAGGCAATGTCTATTTTTTATCTAAATCTTTTTGGATTCTTTTTTATTAGTCAAATCTATCAAAATATTAAGAATTAAAAAAAAAACTTAGGTAAGAATTCATGGTTGTCAAACCGGTCTCATGCCGGCCGGTTCAACCGGGTACAACCGGTATGGTCACCAAACCGGCTGGAAAGAGGCTGGTATTTAACTATGGTCAATGCCGGTCAGAACCGGTCAATTCCGGAAATTCTGGCTGGTTAGACCAGAAACCAGAATTCAATGTTACACATATTTTATCCAAAAATAAACACCCTCCTTAGGATTTGAACCAAGTACCTCATGTTCATTTTAGACTCTCTTATACACAAGTAGGCTACAAACAACTTTGTTGTATATATTAACCTTATATATTATATATCTAACTCTAAATTCTACACAAATCATTATAAACATTAATAAAATTTATTTTAAATACTTTTATTTTTAAGCATCTAATTGTTTAGTATTAGTTACCAATTCTTAGCTATAAATTATTTTGTGTGAAATAATTTTTCTAATTGCTTTTTGATGACTAATTTATTTGGAATTGAGGATTTCCATTTGTCTCATATATTTTATTAAAACCGGCACAACCGATGTGAACACTGGTTGTACCACGGCCGGACCATTCCACTTTCAAAACCGGCACACCGACATAAACCGGTTTGACAACCTTGGGTAAGATAGTCTAACGATAAAACTGTCGCGACAATAAATGTTTGGGAGTTGCAGATCTCAGGTTCAAATCTAAACGAGACTCTTTGATGTTCCCAGAGGTATAAGACTGCTGGGGGCAAAATCGCGTTTGTGTCGAATTGATTCCCTACAGATTTGCAAATCCCACATTTTATTTGGGATTTGACAATTGAAGGAAAAAAATGTGAGACAAATTCATCTTAAATCCATCATTCATGATAAGAAATCAAATATCAAATAATGTACTATTCCAAATCCATCATAAATCCAAAGGTTTTAAAAACTCAAAACCCCATTTCAATCCATCAAGCAAGATTTCTAAATAATATAAAGATTTTAACTCTACGGATAGTTGAAAAAAGATTTTAAAATATTTGTTGGCTTGGTAACTATGATTGTTAATATTCAATGAAAAATAAAAATTCTAATATTTTTTTTTATCAAATTACATGTTTACCCTCAACCAAGTGAATATGAGTGACTCGAGAAATATTAAAAATTTGTTCGGATATTCTGTGAGATAAATAATGAAAAATAAAGAGATCAAATAGAATAAAAAATCTTAAAAATCAAGATGTAAAAGCTCTCTAATTAGAAGAGATTTGATATATTTAGATTTTAGAGATTTTTTTTAAGTTAAAATCCATTATACAAAAGAACCAAAAAAAAAATATAACTCTCTACTAAACCTAAGAATTCAATGAATCCATGACCCACATTTTTTTATCAAAAGGCCAACTCATTTAACCTCTAATGACTCAACATAATTTGATGATGTGGTTGTCATGTATTTTCCATGTCCCCAAATAATGTGCCCATATATTTTTTTAATAAAAAAATTTATTTTTCTGGGGATTTTTCAAATTAAAAAAATCAAATACAATTTTATGTGTGATATGGCAGCCACATCATCAAATTATGTTAAGTTTCTGAAGAATTAGTAAGTTAATCGTTAGAGCTGACGCTCAAGTCAAAGCACTGATTCATGGATGTTCTAATTAGGCCAACCACGTTGGAAAATAAAAAACAATGATCTATTTTTTTCTCAATTTATTTATTTTTGTTTGTTTTATTATTTTATTTTTTATTCGGTTGCTAATTATAATTGCAAGTAAATTGACTTGATATAGATGCAATGAAATTAACATTAGTGTAATCACAGTAATTGTTGAGGTAACAGTAGGCTCCATGTATGAAATTGTTTTTACAATTGCATTGATGTGAATGACCTATTGATAAAATTTTGGATCATTTGTAGTATTATTGAAAGCTAGGGATAAATCTTTATATTTGTACAATGTAAGCGAGCTGACTTTGCGGTCGCAGCCCATGAGTCGCGGCCGCGATCTTCCTCGCAGTCAAATAATGTTGTGGCCCTGATACAACTGGGAAAAGTCTCTGTTTCTCCCTGAGTCCTTCCTCGCGAAGTTTGCGTCCTGAGCCCTCCAATTCGCAGTCGCGATCTGGGGCTTCTGGGCCGCGATCTTCAGCTTTAGTTCGCGGTCTATGTTCCCCGATGTGATCTTTAGCTTCCAGGCCACGATCTTTAGCTTCCTGCCCCCTTGCTACACTTGTGACCTTGTTTTGTACCTAATTCGCACATATCGTCTAATACACCCTAAAATCACATAGAATTCACATAGGAACGAAGGATGGATGCAATCGACGGTGTTCAAGCAAATATGCACATGAATTGGCACTAAACACACCTTAATATGAGGGTTAAATAACGCTAATTTAGGTGTTATCAATTGTAAACTTTCCCCGGCAATGGCGCCAAAATTGTTGACTCGTTCCTAACTACACAAATAAAATCTCGACTAGAGCCCAAGTATAAACTCTATTAGGGTGTAGTATAGTGCAAGTGTTTTAAAATGTCAACCTGAGTCGGTCCATGTACTCCTACTTCAACTGTTTAAAACGTTATCTAGCTATCGGTTTTGAGTGAAAACTAACAGGTAGAATTTAAAGCAAGCAAGAAATTAAATTGTTGTGGATTCTATATGAGAAAACTTCACCACAATGTTGCTCCCCTCACGTAGCAATAATTGGAACTCTAGTGCGAAACAGTGTGTTCTTATACCACGAGATTGGCGCAACTAGTGGAAGATTCCTACTCTCTTACGCAACTTATTATGGAAAAGCAATTAAGCTAGGAAACCTAGCTCTCTTAATCAATCGGCTAAGGATTGCTAACCAATCCCTCACATGTTAATTTGAAACGGAGACAAAGCAATAAAACACAATTAAATTGTTACGCTTAAGCGATGCTTGGGGTGTGTCCCTAATTACCCTAGAAGGGGTTACCCAATTTGCCAAGAAGTGGGCAAGGATGAAATTTCCTCCTTCTAGTTCAATTTGACCCAAGTGAGATATGGAACCCAACACTCACAATCATGAAAATACCTCAAACATTATATTAAAACACACAATCAACACACATAGAGTTCAAATCCAACTACCTATCACATTTCTAGGCTAGGGTTCACAATACCCAAGTGAAAAATAGAACTACACCATAGCTAAAATAGGGATTGCAACAAAGAGGAGAGGAAGAACCATGATGTGGTGTTTGACTTCCTTCCTTGTGGTTGCAATCACCCTTGGGAATTGAAAATCTTCAATCCTCTTGCTAGGAGCAAACCCTAGGCCTCTTATTCTCTCCTTGTTCGTCAGTTTCTCTCTCTAAAATTAGAAGTTGAAGAAGAAGAAGAAGACAATCTCTTATTTGGATCCCCCTTTCAAGTTTCAACTCCCTTCTCCTTTTATACTCTAGTCGCACGCTCATCACGGTCAATTATCACGGGCGTGATCTCAATGCCTCGCCCGTGATCTCGGGCAAAATGCACTGTTTCATTTAAGGCCTTCACGAACTAGATGGCACTATCACAGTCTGGTGACCGTGATAACTTTTAGGACCATGAGGTGTACCTAACTTTCTGGATGTTGATGCTCTTCACTGTCTAGACCTCTTCTTCACGGTCGGATAACCGTGATAAAGTTGCTCCAATTGTGATCATCGCCTTTTTTCCTTTTTCGATCCGCTTTCGCCCTTTTTTGTTCAGCTTTCGCTTCCAAGGCCAATTTCACCTGTTAGAACCTAAAACATGATGGAAAGATGCACAATCTAGCGTAAAATCAAGCCTTAAGCGATGTAAACGCTCCAAACACCACAAGAATACAGGGTGACATGTGCAATTATACCCGAATCAATTATCCCAACCGAAAACTACATTTTGCAAAGAGAGATGATGTTGAATACGAGGATGAAACTTAAGTGAATGCCTACATATTTAGGAGGCTTGAGCTGGACAAGGAAGAGACCACATGTTATGATATGATCTCAAATTGGGAGACACGAGCAGAAAGACGATAAAGAAGTGCTTGTGACCTAATCAAAGCACGGGCGGACAAGGGCAGAACATGGTCGTGTTCCTATCCGTGTTTCGACCAATGTCGGGTTAACACTACAAA